ATGACTAGTCTGGGAAAATGTTGAATCACTGTCGGGCAGCCATTAACCTTTCATATCAGCTCAGTTTCCCAAATATACTGATCATTTCTAACGAGGACAGGAGTCAGGGCAGCCAACTTATTTTAAGGACCAAGCAGCAAGTATTTTAGGCGTTGCAATTCTGTCCTCTTGGAAGAAAGCAGCCAATGACTGTCATAATGACTACGTCCATGCTAGTGAATGTCTTTGACTATGCTCCAGTACAACTTTATCTGTCAAAATAGTTAACTTGCCCCTGGGCTGTTATTTCATGCCTGGCCCTGAATGAGTGAATCAATGAAGGAAGATTTGAAATTCTTGGGAGAAAAATTAGGAGCTCTTTGGAGGTCCACAGCAGACTTTTCTGAAACTGTAGTTTGAGGGCATGTTAGTCACTGGCCAATAGACGGTGTCCTTTAATATTTATAAATATTGCATGAAGAAGCCTGGGTGAGGGCTACCTGCTTTTGTCAGAGGCCAGACACCTCATCAGAAAGCAGGCTTGGGGCTGGGATCACGGAGAACTTCTAACTTGAGGTGTAAAACAGCTAGAGGGAAGGAATTATTACACTAAGCATATTCTCTTACACACAGTACCTTCTCTTTATATATATTCCCTTTATAGATTCAACTTCAACCAGGTTAATCTCTCCTGTCCCCACTAACATCTCTCTCCTCATTCCCTGCCATAGGCCTTAGTTTTTGTCTCCACCGTTTCTCCCTTTGGAGGATTGATGTTTTGGGTCAAAATCTAATTATTAGGTTGGTTGGTTACCTAACATTTGTGAGGGCAATCTCCAGTACCACAAACTTGATAGACTGATAGATAGATAGCAAGACAGACAGACAGACATGAGTGTATAATGTCTGGTGAACATTAAGATGATGATAAAACTATAAAAATATATGAAACTAAAATTTCTGGGGAAAGTTAACAAACCATATCTAATTTTGATCCTCAACTTTCCCCTCTAAAACTACTAATATTTTGAGGGAGAATGGCATGAACCTCAAAGATAGTGAAAGAAGGTGTCAAAGACCCAACTCTGAGTGGGCGGAGAAACAAGTGGTACTAGACCTGACACACTTGAAAAGCCAAGCTGCAAACGGCTTTAAGTCAATACAGGAACAAGTTCAGCACACACTTGAGTGCTAACAGGCTGCGAACTTAGGACACCTCTGGAGGCGGGCTGGAAAACTGACTTGAGAACACTGGCTGAATGAAGGACAGATGAGGGTCATGCGAATTCCTGACCACGCCATGTAACCCCCTATGCATACTACTGGTAGAGGAGTATTGTCCCTCTCACACTACGTCCAGAATCTAGAGGCGCAGGCTCCAGAGACAGGAAAACAGATTTTCATCGTACACAGTTGATGGTGGGCACAGAACCTTAAAAACAGGAAAAGCCAGTGACTGAACGGTGACTACTTAGGCTCTTTCTCTCCACTTTAACATCCGGATGAGAGAAACTAAGAGTGCTAGTCGCTCTCTTCCCAGTCAAAAACATCCTTCAGTAACACCGTCGGGAAAGCCAGACTCACCTTAAACTTGTGGTCTGCTGGCCTACCAAGAGAAGCAGTTGCTGACCAACCAACCAGTCTCTCCACTGTTGAGTCCGCATGGACACAAATGACCAGAAAGGCGAGGGAAACCTCTTATCAGAAATAGGGAGGTAGAAATGAGAAAAGTAACCTCAAAGGGCTGTCTATAGGAGAAAAACCTTTACGAAACTGTACAAGACACGCCAGGCGTGGAGCTGCACCCCTTGTTCATCCTAGCATGTGGGAGTCTGAGGCAGAATCAAGAATTCTAGGCCAGTCTGGGACACACAGTGATGTTAACCCCCCTGCCCCTAAATAAACCCCAATAGTCCTCTACTTAGGACAGCTTGACTTGTAGCTCCTGAACTTAGAGTGGCCAGGAAGCATTATGCACTCCGAAGAAATTGTATTCCGATTTGGAATGTTGAGCTTTCCCAGGCTAATGAGAGTGCATGCTTTTTCAAGACCCTGAGCAGTTTGGAGCTGCAGGGCTCAGCCAGCGCCACCATCATTGGGTGTGTGTGTGTGTGGGGGGGGGGGACGACAACGGACACTCTAGTGAACTATTCTGTAAGCCGTGATGTCCAATCGCTGGGTGTATGAAGTGTATTTATAACATTTGCAGTAGTATAACGGGTTTATTGGGATGGGAACCTTACCGAACACCTTAGTCCATCTGTAATGGCCTTCCACTTGTGCTAGTGACAAACTACCAAGGGTCCCGTTTACCTTTCTGCTCTAATAATTTAAAAAACTGGGCAAAACTGAGAAAACTACTTTTGGATCTTGGAGAACAGGCAGCACAAGACCGTGACTCCTGAGAGGGCACCCCATTCATACCAAGGTGGATCCTAGTCACCCAATTGAGTGAGCAGAGACTGGAGTTTGGGCAGTATGGGGCAGTTCTAGAAAGGATGCAACTACACAGAAAACGTTCCAGAAATCCTTCACAGGCATCCTTCTGTGTCTTTGTCAAATAGTAAGGTGCACATGTATAGTGTGCAAGCCCATGAGGACAGGGAAAAACAAGAATGGGTAGGGAACTGAAGGGTTCCTAGATTCCACACAGGGCATGTAACTCCCAAATTCCAGCATTCAGAGAACTGGATGTGGTGGTTTATGCCTATAACCCCAGCACTCTGGAGGCTGAAACAGGATGATAGTAGGCTTGGGGACAGCCAGGCAATGTAGACCCTGTTGTGGAATATCTGTTTACACTGTAAAGATGTGTCTCTGCCTAAGGCGCCTTCTGACTGGTTTAATAAAGAGCTAAGAAAAGTATGTCAGAGAGCAAGCTTAACCAAACAGTTCCTCACAAGAACAAGTCTAGCACATCCCTTTCAAGAAGAGCATTTAACATTTGTGAGATGTGTTGTGGGTCTTTTGTTATCTTAGTATACTAAGGAATTTCTTTCTAATGGTATAGTCATTTTCATTACGAGTGAATTTTTAAAATATTGCATTATTTATACATCTGTGTGTATGTGCATGGGGGTAAGCTTACCTGTGTGTACAAGCAGAGGTCAGAAGGGGGCACTGGCACCCGCCATCATTTTTCCTGTTCCTCGAAGGCAGGGTCTCCTCTTGAACCCTACCCTCCCATTTTTGCCCTTCTTGGTCCTGGGATTATGGGCGTCCGCAGGGGAACACTTTGTTTTGTGGGTACTGGAATCTGAACTCTGGTCCTTACAGTTGTGCAGCAACTGTTACTAACCGCTGGGTCATCTCTCCAACCCCCAACCACTGAGCTTTATCAAACGTTTTTCTACACTTTGAGATCATCATGTAGCTTTAGTTTTCTAATGTACGTACCTTTAGTAGGTTTTTAAAAATGTCAGCCAACCTTGAATTTCTAGAATAAGCCTATACTGGTCAAAACACACTGTCTTGTGTTGCAGGATTAGTTTTCTAACGTTTTCCATCTTTGGTCTGAAGATTGCCTTTGATAACAGTTTAAATATATTTTTCAGAATTAAAGATTTATTAGTATGCACTCTTGATCAGCCCCTCCCGTTCTTAAAAAGGTAAGTCTCATGTAGCTTAGGATGGCCTTAAACGTTACACAGTCAAAGGCGACCTTTTAGCCTCTAATTCTTCTGTCTCTACCTTGCAAGTACTGGATCAGTACACCTAGTGTATATGGCACTAGTAATCAAACCCAGGGCTTCTTGCACCCAGGCAAGTGCCCTATCAACTGTTCTTATTTTCCAGATTTTAAATGTTTTATCATCAATTTCTCTGGCTTATTCACAGTATTATTGGGAACTTAAGATCACATACCTGGTCTTTAGGTTGCTTTAACTACAAACATTTTAGCATGGTGGCAAATTAAAAACCAGGCAGAGCATTGTTGCCATCTGGTGGAAATGCCTACCATTACCACATTGAAAAAGGTCCTGTGTGACACTGCCTTTCTACTCAGGCAATCAGTCCTGCCAACTTCTCACTGGGACTCTCAATCTTCTACCTCATTTCCATTTGCTCACCACTACCTGAGTTCAGCGTCTAACTTTAGTATTCGGCTAAAATCATTGCCCTGATACAGGCCCAGATTCTACTTTATATGCAAACATTTTAGAATGAGCAGCAGTCTGGCTAGAGATAAGAATAAAGCAGAAGTCCAACAAATACTGGTTGAATTTTAAAAGCACTCCATTCCCTAAAGTTACCTAGGAAGATGCAAAAGTGTACAAATTGCCAAGCTTTTCCCTGTATGAACAGACTGATAAATGATACTCACACACAATGTCTTGTGGGCTTGCCCAGAAAGTGTGAAACTTAAACCAATGACATTTGGAAGAATAACCACAGGGCCAGGGTGGGAGGACAAAAGTAAACAAACCGAGATCAAACAGATCATCCCATGCTGGAGAGTAAGTAATTGCTCTAACGGTACAGCATGTCAACAGATGTGCCTGGCTGGGTCCTGCTCATATATGACTTCTCTGTGTGAAGGTTTAGGTTTGAAAATCCCAGTGCTCAGAGAGGCCAGCTTGGTCTACAGAACAGTCAAGGAAGGTTACACAGAGTGACCCTGTCTCAAAAAACGAATCCCAAACCCTAAAACTCCTAAATTGATTACAATACAAGAGGATTTTTTTGTTCTGATACATATTATTTGAAATTTGTAATATTCTGTAATCTTTCTGATAAACATAACTAACAAAGCATCCTAGAAAAACACTGAAAAATCTTGTAGATTAAATGACGACTTTTTCTTCACAGTATTTTTAAAACAATAAGCAATGTCTACTTTTTCATTATTTATAGTGGTTCCCACATTACAGCAATATAAACACAATATCCTTTGGGTTTCCTGGTAGGTTGAGGGTTTTAAAGGTAGAAGGCCCAAATCTAAGAAACAATAGAAGAAAACCTTCATCTGGAACCTCAAAACAGTCTCCTAGAAGTCTACAGTAACATCATTAAGATATACACAAGAGCCAAGATGTTTGTTTTATTGATTTCTTGGGTGGGGGGTGGGGGTGGTAGAGAGGTTAAGAAAATGTTTGTTTCCTGCTTCAAAGAACATTCCCAAGCCGAAGACATTCATTCTCATGACAGGGACAACACTGTTCTCCCTGCATTCGTGACAATGTGAGTTTAAGATGATGTTGACAGAATGCATCTCTGAAACACAGTGCACTCATCTGGACCAGTGGGCACTCCACTGGCTCTTGTTCACAGGGGAAGGAAGTGGCACTTCAACATCAAACAGAAATCTAAGAAACGCAACTTGTTGGACTTGTGGCAGCACTGGTTACTAAGGAACCATTCAGCGGTAATGGTCTTGAATATTTATAGCTAATGAAAAGGCATTTAACCAAGGGGCTGCTGATTCTAAGAACTGTGACATTTGTGAGTAAGGGAGCAATTCTAAGTCTGGACGTCAAATTCAGAGAAAAGAATCAGTAATTTCACATTTGCAGTATCTATAAATAAAATACATGGATCAGAAAAGATGTTAAATAGAAAGTGCATACAGAACTCAGGAAAACCCTTTTCATTAATTCTGTGACTTATTCTAGTTCAGTAAAATGCTCACAAGGAAAATAACCACTTAACGCAGACAACTGGTTATACCATTGCTGTTCAGAGCTTCATGAGAGCAAATGAAGGGATATTGATCAACATCCCTGCTTTAGACGGAATCATTTATCTTGAAACAGGTTATTTCGTAAGACGGACCATCCACATTATACCTTGAAAAGTCAAAGTAGAGAGTACAACTATAGAAAGCCAGAGTTCATCAGAACATCTAGACAGAAGTCTGTTTGTAGTTTTTGGTATCCAAGACCTTTTTGCCACACATTGCACAGATGCCTGAAACGAAAGAAAACATGTGAGGAACATAGTACCACCAACTTTTGGTTTCTTTATGTCAATCTAAAGCTGAGAAGCACTCAGCGGGTGTGGAGAGAGGCTCAATGGTTAGGGCACTTCCTCTGCAGTCATGTCAACTAGGTTTGGAGTTCAATATTCACATATCCTCACAAATGCCCATAACTCCAGATCCAAGTGGGGGGAGACAGAGAATCCCTGAGGTTTGCTGCCCTCCAGACCAAATGAGAAAACAGGAGCCCCAGGTTCAGGGAGGGACCCCACCTCAAAAAGGAGTAGGTAGAGAGTGCAGAGGAAGAAGACACATGATGCCCTCTTTTGGCTTTAAGAATCTTTAAGAACTTCAACTCATTATAAAGAAAACAAAAAACATCCTTTGACTATAAATATATTTTAAACTCCATTTTGTCTTAGAAAAAAGAGTATTTGACTAACAGTTTATGGAGTTATCCAAGGCAACAGCAAATGAAGTAGATCTGATGAGACTAGAAAAATTAAGTTAAAGAAACGTACCTTTTTTGTAGGCACAGCCTTGACAGTAATGAGAACCTGGCTGGTGTACAGAACTTTTACAAATTCTGCAAGTGGAGAACTTATTCTTTCCATATGGATCAAACCTAGAAAGTTGAAAAAAGAAAAAAAAAATATTCATACTACAAGAGAAACTCTTAACCCCTTGTAAGCTACACTCCTGATTAATGTGTGCATCGTCATTCTCCCATCAAATTCCACCACTGACAGAGCCCTCTGCCGGCTCACTACTGGGTAATATGCCTGCATTACTCTGCCCTTCATGTAAGCTGTAATTTATGAAGAGCCATAGATATCAGACCCATTAATATCACTTGTTATGTGTCATTCTATTTGTGATAAATATGAAAATTAATGAAATGTGAGTATAAGGAATGACTGATTCTACAAAAGAATGCAAGTAACTGCTTTAGGATGACTAAATATAAACTGTTATAACTACTATTGAATTGGGTTATGGGTAAGTCAACTTACCAAAAATATTAAAAATTTTGTGTGGTGTGTGTGTGTGTGTGTGTGTGTGTGTGTGTGTGTGTGTGTGTATGCCTGTCTATGTGTGCAGTAGCTATGGAGGCCAGAAGGGTTTCAGTCCTTCAGAGACTGGGTCACAGATGGTTTTGAGCTGCCATATTAATAGATGCTGAGAACTCAGGTCGTCTCCCAGTTCCAGTCCCTTCCCTTGTTTTGTTTTTTTGGTAAAGCCAGGCTGGATGACGCTGAACTCCTATTCTTTTGTCCCCAGCACCTGAGCACTGGGATCATAGGCGTGTACCATCATACCTGGCTTAGCTTTTGTTCCACTAAGGTATAGAATCTATATGCTGGTGGATGGTTTATGAGAGGAAAAATATAGAGAACTTTCATTAAGCTGTACTTCAATACGCAGCGATAGATGAATACATTCACAGTTTATGTTTTAAGATAAAATATGTTATGTACATCTCCTAATGACTACATAACAAGCATTTTTAATTGACTGGCCTAATCCCTTTGTATAAAGGGGTTTATACTATATAAACATGGTATCCTATGGGAACCATAGGACAAATAACTATAGAATAGTTCTCCCAAAAGTGGCAATAGTGCTCTAATTTAAAACTGGTTGCCTAGCCCCAAAGTAACTATTTACACTTTCTCCAGGTAGCATCATAGTTCTGGTATCCTGTCTGGGGCACAGCATAGGAGCTTCTTTCCTGTTTGACATTTTTTGCCTTGATTTATTTATTTTATGTGTATGGATATCTTGCCTGCATATATGTCTGTGTACCATGTGTGCTGTGCCTGTGGGAGCCAGAAGAACACCAGATCTCCTACTGGAGTTACAGACCAAGGTGAGCCACCATATAGGTACTAGGAATTAACCTAGGTCCTCTGGAAGAGCAGTCAGTGCTCTTAAGCAGTGAGCCATCTCTCCAGCTCCATTATTTTCTATATTAAACAGACAAGTAAACCAACAGACACCCTTTGCTTGTCTTTATTCTTTTAAGATAGAATCTGGTTACATAACCCAGGCTGTCATGGAATTTACTATCTTCCTGCTCAGCTTCCCACATGCTGGGATTACCATCACAGCCAGGCAACAGACTACTTTTAAAGGTTGACCTTCTTAAACCCAGACAATCACTTTACTCCCACAAGAATAAGGATGTTTGGGGTCCTTTTCTCAAACCATACTTTCATTGTTCTAAGGTGACAATTTAATCTCTGAACTCTTATGATTAATTGGTAGACTTTTTCTTTTCTTTCTTTCTAAAGATTCTATTATTTTTTTTTAAATTATGTTTGTGTGTGGCTGGTGAATGTGCTGCTGAGGCAGGAGATGGCGTTGAGCCCCTGGAATTGGAGTTACAGGTGGCTGTGGGTCTTCTGATGTCCAAACTGAACTCAGGTCCTCTGGAGAGCAGTGCTTTTGAGCACTGAGCCATTTCTCCAGCCTCCCAGAGTTCCTGCTTCTTATAAATAATGGCATTGGAAGTTCAATGTAACGCAGTAGTACACTTTCTAAAATAAGCTCGCCAATGCAATGCTCTCAACAGTCATAGCTATACTTCAGAAATAAGAATAACTTATGAGTCTAAAGGAATTGAAGGTATATATAACTAACTTGTAAAAATCAAGGTCTTAGAAAACACCAAGTCAATCAACAACACGATGCTATGCTGAACATTAAGTCCATTACGCTGTTTTTATCAATTTTTTTAAATAAGCTCCTACTATGTAGCAGCCATTTGATAAACATTATTATTTCTTTTAATCACTGAGATGATGTCACACAATGGCTACTTATTCATTTAGCAAACATCTTGAGTACTTACTGTATCCAAGTACTGTTCTAAATACCAAAGATAAACATTACAAATTCCCTGCCCTTGTCAAACTCAAATAAGAGTGGAGAGAGAGAAAAAACAAAGACAATCCAATAAAACAAGATTTTCAGATAAGTATTGAGCATTACAAAGAGAATCCCAGCTGAAAGCTGTAGGGAGAGGAGATAACTACTGGCTAAGGACTCCTCACTGAGGAGCTCCCATCTCAGCCAAGTATCAAGTACAAGGGGTCAGGAGGAACTGCTTTAGGTGACGGTGGGATTGGCAAATCTAATGAGGATGTTCCATGGCAGATGAGGAGGAGTGTGGTATACTGGAAGCTGGAAGAGAAAGATGTCCTATCATGGAGGACCTTGTAAGAACATGGAAGAGAACTTAGATTCTATTCTACAGGGAAAGGGCACCAATGGAAGGCTTTAAGCAAAGGAATTTCAGGACTTTCTAGATGATCATTCTGGCTAACAACTCTTCAGTGTGGGAAAAGGAAGCTAGGAAATGGGATAGCCGTAGGAAAGGTCCCTGTAAAAACTGAAACTGAATGTAATGAAGTATGCTATCAAAATCTGGTTTTTAAGATGGGAGGCATTTTGTCCTAATTCTCAAATGAAAAGGTACAGTTCAGAAAGGGTAAGAAACCACAGTAATATGTTTCAGGTCACGTGACTACAGAGAGAGACAGTCCCATTCAAATTCAGGTTCAACTCCAAAGTTCATGACTTTCCTATATTTCCTTGGAACCTTTGATCTGTAGGCAGACTAACAAGGAAATAAAACAGAAATCATGTTTTCTTGAAAATACTAGAAAGTGGCACTGTTCTCTTCCTACACTGGCACAGGGTGGAGGAACAGCTTATAGCAAACAGGCTGTCTTTGCACACCACCCCTGCCTAACTCGACCACCACGGGATCAGGCACGTTCACTCCAGCAGGCTTGCTATTTAAAAAGTGAACTTCACGAACTCTAAAGATGTTCTCACCTACCTTGCTTTCTTTGAAGTCAAAGCTTTGTTTTCATTCAGCTTCCTCCCACCACTTTCTGTATATTGAAAAAAGTGCATACATAAAAATTTACTTCTGTGCATGTAACATACAATGTGCTTAATGCTCATGAAGTAATTCAAAAGTTCACTCTCTGACCTTCGACCAATAAATTACCCTTTATGTGATTTTTTAAAATCCTCATATAATAGCCCAGTTCTTAAAAAACACTTGTATAAAATACAATTGATTTATTACTAAGTCTCAAAGTAGTGCTTTGGCAATGACCTACATTTTCTTTGTCTATGTAACATCTTTCTACTTTGATAGCATAGACTGAATACAGAAAAACACTAGGTTCCCCCGACCCTTGAAGATATTCTTTGCTGTATATGTTTTTTGTTTGTTTGTTTTTCAGAGACAGGGTTTCTCTGTGTAGTCCTGGCTGTCTTGGAACTCAAATTGTAGACCAGGCTGGCCTCAAACTCACTGAGATATCTGCCTGCTGCTGTCTCCCAAGTGCTGGCATTAAAGGTGTGTATCACCATGCCTGGCCTGCCATATGTAGGTGAAAATAGTTCAAGAACATAAAACTCAGATGTGGGAAGGGAATTTAAACACAGCCCTTAGTAGGGTGGATCAAACAGACACACACTGAAATGATTTCATAATTTTACTACTTCTTAACTATATCAGGAGCCCGTACACGTAACTCAGATGATGAAAAAGGAGATAGAAAATCAATTGTAGGAGAATCCAGAACTCTAGTGTTAAACAGATGAGAAAATAAATGAGCACTTACTTCCTATTTCATTTTGCTAACAGTGAAACACTAAAGCAAGGCCTACAAGTATCCGATCCAGCTCCTGTTTCCTAGTAAGAAACAATACCTGTGGTATTCCGTGCGCCATCCTTCCATGTATCTGGAGTGATAACTCTGCCGAGTTTCTTTTCACCTGTTAAAGCAAGACAGCAAAAGGAAGAATTATCGTCTAATAAACATACTATGTGGAAATAAAATAATGAGCCCATTTCTTTTCTAACTTTAAAATAATAAATATACTCTATCATGCCTGAGGTTGACAATGTTATCAAGTCAGATTACAGTAGGAACCTACTAATGCTGGGGTGGGACCAGTGAATGAAGACTTAAGATAGTAACTGTGGACAATGGATAACTGAGTCTGAAGATTTATCCGATAATAAGATGCTTTCACTGTTTATACTTTAAACAATTAAAAAAAATTTATAATTTAAACAATTTGACAAACTTACTCATCCTTCAACATTTCATAATCACCTAGTACGTACAAAACCCTGTGCAAGGTACCGATGGAAATAAAACCATGAATCTAGATTTCAGAGGGCTTATACCCAAGTTCATTAGTTTCTTAAGAGCTTGTAGGTAGATCATAGGAAATAAATGAACTGGACAGAACGGTACACAAACCAAATATGTGTATTCTATTTTTTTCCTTGTTAAGAGTCTATAGGGTTCATCAGATTTTCAAAGTGATCAGAGACTTTAAAAAAAAGTGAAGAGCCCTTCAGTAAAAATATAAGCTGGAAAATAAAATATAATAATTTTTTCATAATATATATATATATATATATATATATATATATATATATATATATATATATAT